GAGAGAGAGAGGAGGAGGAGGAGGAGAGAGAGAGAGAGAGAGAGAGAGAGAGAGAGTACAAAGTCATAGGAAAAGACGAGGGACAAAGAGAATGACGAAAAGAGGGTAGTTACAAAAGTCACGAGGACTAGGACAACCCACAAAATGGGTGCTCAGGTACAAGTATCCTCCAAGAAGAAGTAAAAAGATAGAAAGGTCCCCGAAAGGCCTGGTGAGTAAAATCATAGCACCTGAGTAGTACATACATATGTATGTTTGAGACTGTAGGCGACCCACAATTCGGGTTCTCTATTCAGGTCTAAGAGAGAGAAAGGAACCAAAGAGGAGCAAGAGATTAGACTAACAAGAAACTTGAAATATATTGGATATTATGAAGAGACATATTTGATTACAGAAGATGACGGCATGGCAGCATCCAATGTTTGACTGCTTGGCTTGGTCATCAAACTTGGCCCCTGGCCAGGTAGCCTAACGACCAAAAAAGCCAAAAATTAAGAAAAAGTCCTACAAAATCTGAAAAGAGCAGGAAAAAAATAAAACATGATAAACAACAAAAAAGCAGATAAAAGATGAGAAATTTTTCAAAAAATATAAAAATACAAAACTCATTTGTCAGGTGGCCTTTCACAATAAGTGGATGTTGGTAGCCTTTCAAGAAGTGGAATGACAACCAGGTGACAAAATCGAGATCAACTTCTTGTGAGGTAGCCTTTCACAATAGATACATGCCCAAGTAACCAATATACATCAAAGAAATTCACATTCTCAAAAATCCAGGACGATTACAAGCCAATATCAATGACAAGTCTCATGTACCAATCCACATATAATGCATGTGTGCCAAATCATGCACATCTAAACAGGACGGTACAGCAAGCAATAAGTGTATGGCCACAGCGGCCTATTTAACTTAAGGTTTTCTTATAATCAAACGTGGTGGTAAGAATCACAATACCATCGTAACACACTATGTCCATAGTACTTAAAACAAGAAATAACTCACTTAGGGGAATCAACCCACTTCAATGCATGCGTGTTGCAGTTTGACAATCACCTTCATTCCACAAACAGATCAATCAAAGAAAGTGTTATTGGCCCTGAGATTGATCGTTGCCATCGTTCTTCACAAAAAGAAAAGAATGGCACATACTGGGAAAGTGAAACCTATGATCCCATACAAATCACCCTCATCATTAACATACAATTAGTACATTTAAAAGAGAAACTGTATTCTTTTTTTTAAATATGTCAACAGTGGGAATGGGATGTTATATTGAGGCACCCCATCCCCCCCCCCAACCACCGATGGCCAACCTCATTCCAGGAAAAGAAAAGAAAATGTCATTTAATAACAATTTCGTGCCACTACATCTTTAACAAATAACAACCAAACACTTGTAATGTTACAGAACAAATGAACATAAAACCAAGAATATTAAGGTAATGGTATTCTCCAAAGGCCAAGACATTAAAAAAAGGGAGACACCATTAAACATTATAACGTATGTTGATAAACAAATAGATATGCATTTTCTTCCAATGGGACCAAATGTCACCTAGGAAACATAAAGATTATACAGAGGCACAACCAGAAACACTATAATGCATGTTTCTTTGCCTAGCCCATGTCACTTGGGAGAATGGTCGGAATCCCACACCAATTTTCTTGTTTCATAGTCATGTACTCAAGTTATTAGACATTAGTATGTGACGTAGTTGAAGTGTCCACAACAATTTTGCTCATACTACAGGAAAATGCGCAAATATTAATATTATTATTCCATGATACTGTAATCAGAACCATTTTCTCTGAGCCACAAAGATCACATTACCGCAAAAACAGAGAATGTGGTAATCCCATCCCCCAATATCCGTTGGCATTCGGTTTTCAACAGGGTAAAATCCTCCCCTTTCTTACTCTGGCTAGCCTGACCATGTAGAATATCCGGCCTCTCGATCTTTTCATTAGTCAACTCGCGCTTGAGCAGCACTGCCAGGGGCACCATATGCTCATTCTTTGTGCACATAGCTATCTTTATTTTGTATTTTATTCAAGACTGCCTTTAGCCAACAAAAGCCACCTAAAACTCTTCAGCTTCCCCATCTGAAGACCAAAGCAAGTTTTAATAAAAAGGAAATCTTCTGCAACTGATAGATTTGACATGGGTGAGCCCCATAAATGGTTAAAGCTCTAGTTTCAATAGAGAGATGAGTCTCAGAACAATGAGAGAAACAAAATTTCTGCAATGCAAAAAGTTATATATCTACAGTTCCAGAAATGATACAAGGGCACCATGTGAAAAAGAATTTTTTAAAATCATTATTTAAAAAAAAATCACTCCTTATATAAATAGAATGGATGCATGTAGCAAGGGAAATTATACATTGCATAGTCATCAAAAGGATGAGGAGACCATCTCAGTTATGCTATTTCAAATGTCCCAAGTAATTATTCATCTAAGGAGAGTACTACCTCTCGTCAAGGGTGGGCCCAAATGCTGAAAAGCCCACCTTCTGAATTTCAGTAAATTCTCACTTAAAAGTTTTTATTCATTTTTTACTCTGTATAAGAAAAAGCTGATGTTGAGAAAGTACAGAAATACTAAAGAACAATAAAAATTCAATCTTGCGCCTACTACGAAATAAAAACCAGAGAATTAAACACACATTCCTCCTTTAATTTCTAAAATAAAACCTACCCAGGAAAAAATATTTCAAAAACAGATAAAAACTGGAAAATTAAAGGTAATGACCACCACTCTGTTCTCATCAACAACGCTCACCACGAAACCTAGAATTTCCATGACTCAAACCACCACAAACCAAGTTCGCAACAATTCCTCGAAATTCATCAATAACAAGTACCAGTCATCATGAAATATTGACAAGAAAACCAACTGTGATCCACTGCGATCCAAACACGCCCGAAAATAAAACCCAAGCCATCATCCGATCCACTCCCATAAAGAATTCCATTAGATACCAAAAATGATAGCAACCCAACCAGATCCAAAACCCTAACTTCCCCCTTAAAACGCATCAACCACCAATAAAAACCAGAAATTTACCAAAAAAACCAGCTCAAAAGGAAGCAGGAAAAAGAGAAACACAGAGAGAGAACGTACCGGCAATGTTGTGGGGGAGGGGTGAGAGAATTCCATTGGCTGGAAGATTGAGAAAGGGCGGGGAGGCTTCGTCAAACAGACATGGAAAATCTAGAGAGAGAAAGAGAGGGGAAGAGAGAGAAACTGGGAGCAAGCGTTTCGGGTCCGCGTAGAAAATGCAACCCCTAAGAAAACGCCAGATGATTGAGATTAAAACAAGACCAAATGTAGAGAGAGAAAGAGAGATGTAGAGAGAGAGAGAGTTATGATAGAGAGAAAAACAGAGGGTCTTCCATATTTGGTCTTTCTTTTAACGGTGCGGTTTTTATAAGGTTGCAACCTTACCCGATCGGATTAAGAGGCACCTCCAAATTTTATCATAATATATAATTTTGGTGTAAATTTTTTTAATAATATTTAAAATTCTATTTTTATATCTAATTATAATATTTTAAACTTTAAAAATAATTAAAATCAAATAGATCCATAAACATACGAGAATCTTAAAAATTGATGATCTAGATAATACGTTGCAAGATATATTATTTTTGAGACACAAAATACTATTATTTTTTTATATTAATACATCTGGATGTCAAGATAACCAATTAGAGGGCCTTTCAATATTAAAACAATATTTCTTAATAGATTTTATATGCATCTTTAATTCTGCATTTTAAGGTTACAAACTTATGTAAACGTTTTCCTTTTTTTATTTGCAAATGCCAGTTAACTATCACTTGCAATTGTTTCGTTTGTATTTATGCTTGTAATGTGAAGGGACTGGGTCAATCATTTCCAAACAACGCCCTCTTTCTCTCTCTTCTTTCTCTCTCATTACTACTTCTATTTTATTATCCACTCATTTGACCATGCAACCCCTCATCTTTCAAGGAATTAGCCCATGGTTGAACTTTTCCCTAATGACCAAAATGCCTGCCATGATTTTTGTTTCTCATATATACAAAAAGGAAAATTATTTCATGCCAGCTTGGACCGCTGTGCGGTTCAAAAAGTATAAAGCATCCATCTTAAAAATGAAGGCAAGCAGGCGTTTCGTTTAAAAATAATAGAAACTAACAGTTCAAATGTTTTTTTAAAAGAATTATTATTTTTAATTTTTAAAATTTATTTATTTATTTATACTCATAATCTCCATGTTAGACATTATATGTCTTTAAAAATTAAGTCAAAAAATCCATCTCCAAAATAGATTTTTAAGAGTACATGTGCGAGCTTGGCTTGCATGCTAACCACGTCCATACAAAATACACGGTCACCCTTTAAGAACATTGTTCAATTCAGAGTGTTATTGCATGAGAAAAGTATACAAAGATACTATTTATATTTAGTACAAATGAGACATAATCCCCCTTATACGTCAAAATTTATATAGGGGTGATTGTATATATCATTGACTAAACTCAAAGTTAAAATAAAATAAAAAAATGATATGTCTAAAATTATCCAATTTGACATCAAATAGTTAAAAATGATTGTAACCTCCTTATAATAGTGATAAATAATTTCATAGTACGACAGAGATATTCTTTGATTTAATTTTGGGATATTGTACTATTTTGTTATGTTGAGTGTTAATTTTTTTTTTTTGCAGCGTGAGATCTTGCTTACAATCTCTTTGTTGGGGGAATTTAGTGCATATTTTTCAATATACATTATTAATAAAATCAAAGTTGGGAGTGGGGTTGGGGCATCAGTGGTTAAGGAAGCTGATACCTCAACATATTGTCCCACCCTCCATTTCCACCGTTAATATGTTAAAAAAAACAATAAAACTACAATTAAAAAAAACCCAAATAACTAGGGGTGCGGTTTGTATGTGGTTTCAATATTAGAAATCTCTAGAGATTTATGAAAATCTTAAAAATTAATGGTCCAAAAATGAGTTACAAAATACACTATTTCCAAAACTTGAAATCTATTTTTTTCTCATGTCCATGCATCTTGATGTCGAGATGATCAATTTGAAGATATTTGGGCATCAAAACAACATCTTTTAATGAAAATTTTGAGTTGGGCTTTGATTGTTTAGAGCTTCGACTCTATAAAAACTTTTCCCAATAATCATTTATTTGAAAGTATGGGCCTTTTAGGGGATTATGGGCGAAGGAGGATTCTGTGAAGTCATTTGAGGGTGTTTTGGAAATGTGTGGTGGTTTGCTAAATTGGACGGTTGTGTCCGGCAAGCATGACGACCAGACACCAAAGTCTTTCCTGGTTTGTGCCGTTTATCTCGCGCAAGAATCCTATTGGACAATACACACCTATCCTTCCATTTCCTTCCTCGTCCCGTCGCTTTCTCTCTCTAAAAAATGTGTTTGTTTCCTGTCTCGACCCATCTCTCTCCCTCACTAGAACAGGCCATTCCTTCTTTTTTTTTCTCTCTCTAGACATCTTAACCCTCTCACTCATCTATCGCCCAATCTTCACATTGTTCTTCTCTCTCTAGGTGATCCTCACCCCATTTATCTCTCTCCCATGGACAATTTTTTCCTCCCAATACAGCTATAACCCATCTCTCCCTCATTGGAAGTAGGGGTGGCCCGGCCCATCCCTGCCAACCCTACAAAACTAGGGCCTAGGCCACAAAATGTGGCTTGAAGATCCGGCCATTGGGGCTCGAAGGCAAGGGGTCATAATAAGGCTGCCTAGTTCAGCCCTCTTTTTTCTTTTCTTTTTTTCTAACCAAACTTGGGCTAGGGCCTCTTTGGCCCAATTAGAACTGAGCCAGGCCATGCTGACCAAAGCATGGCCCCATGGCCGGCCCTAATCGGACGTTCATCACATTCTCTCTCCACATCTCTACAGACAGAGTGAACACTAATTTCTCCCTCTATAACTATATTGCCCCATCTTTTACCCTTTATAACAAGGGGAAATTGTGGATACCCCAATATTTTACTTTTCAAGCATTTCCAAACTAGGGGGGCAATGGATTCGACTAGAACCAGGACTTGTTGGGTATACCCGACCTTGGGTCCAAGTATGGGTCCAAAGTTTAAACCTGAGTATTATTTAGGTTTGGGTCCGGGTCCGGGTTCTGGTCCAGCCAAGTCCAACCCGTACTCATAGTCATAGGGTATATGATGGTAATCTTGAAACACGTGCTAAATATTTATATTGTCACAATATTGGCAACATTTACAATATTATTAGTAATAAAAAAGAAGCTCATAATCATATGGTATATGACGGTAAAAAAAAAGCAAAAACAAAAATAAAAATGAACCCATAGTCATAGCGTGACAATGGGTCCAACCAAACCCTAGACCCGATGGATTTGGGTATAGGTCCAAATTTTAGGCCCAAATACTACCCATACCCGACTTGTTTACTATGCTATTAACCTCGACATTACTTAGTCATGCATCCACTCGACAAGCGAAAATTTTGAAATACTAATTAGTCTTGCATCCATCCCATGAGTGAAAATTTTAATTTTTCTTATCAAAATACCGTCATTTTGACTCACTATTCTCTTTTTTTACACACTTCTACTTTTTCTCTCTAAGCTGGCCCGACAAAATTTGAATATAACACTAGCCGGGCCGATACAATTTCAAAATAAGTTGGTCCAGCACACTTTTAATATCAAAACCAGCTTTATGTGTCGGTCTGGTTTTTTTTGCAAGCAAGTCCAACACATTTTGAATATCTGAAGCAAGTTTAGCACATTTTTGTACTAGATTGGCATATATTGGGTATTCATTTTAAGAGAGAAACACATTTAAAAAGATAATATTTTATTTCAAAAAAATCAACTTGATTGGAATGATGTGAATGTAAACATAAGTAGCGATAAAAATTAATAGTGTGATATTAAGGGGGCGCATTCACGGAGGGTACAATCAAGGGGTAATAATTTTCCTTACTACATTATTCTCTCTCTACCCGAGGTCACCAAACACGTTTGACCAGACTTCAACGTGAAAGAAACGTCAATGTCTAACTTTTCCGTTACAAAATCCCGGTGGAGTGGATCCGGCTATGTCTCACCGGATAGTGACGGATCCCAATATTGTCCCGGTCAAAACAAGGAAGTGCATGTCCATTCATCTCATAATAATAGTCATCATCATAATAAGGACCTTTTCTTATTTGGATTAGGTTAAAAAATACAGGCCTATCGCACCCATACCCGAGCTTGGGTCCCATCATTCTTTGTCGTAGCTCATAATTTTCGCCCCAAACCTCTAAATACTAGACTCATTCAAAATAACGATGGAGTTTTTACAAGGCTTAGGCTTTATGAAAACAAATTAAACCCTCTCAAATCCTGGTCCATAAAGTAATTTTGGCAACGAAAATCTCTACGATGGCTCTAAAATCAATTTTCAACACCGATAATGAAATTTGAAATTTAAAAAATGGTACAGATCTTACGGATCTATGAACACTTGTTTTTAGAGTGAAATGGACCATCTAAATAATTTATTACTATGTACACTTGAAATCCTATAGCTTTTTCACAACTGTAACATTCAAGCCAAAATGATTGATGTAAAGGTTTTCTAATACTTGAATTACAATTTTTTAGGAGAGATGAGGTGAGGCTCAAGCCTATCAAACAATTTTCCTAAAAATAAATAGGATGTGGAGGACTTCATTTTGAAATGTGGATATGGTGACAAAATATGAATAATTATTTAAATTGAAAACAAAAAATGTTTGAAATAAGGAGGGAGGGAAAGGGAATTGGGGTTTAGATTTTATGTTGCAGGCTCAGCATTAGTGGGTTCAATAAATTATTTTTTTACATTAATTTCTCAAAATTGATGTACATATGTACCTTTGGTGTTAGCAGGAGACGCCAATGTGGTCGACAAAAATTAGAAATAAATAAACAAAAATTTTTGAGTAAAGTCACGATTACTTGTTTCTGTGTATTTCCTGTTTTGTCAACTTATGTAGGTACCCTATACACATGGTGGAAAGACTCATTTTGCTTTGGCCGAAAATTAAATCGAAGGTTCTTGTCAAAAAAAATAAAATTACATCGAAGGTATCTCTCAAACACAAAGGCAGGCCTCTTCCTTGGCGGGCCAATTGATAACATTTAGGGCGTATTTGATAATAGAAAGTTAGGGGGAAGGAGAAGGAACTTCTCCATTACGGTACAACTTTTATATATGACACACAGAATTTATACAAGAAAAATGATAGAATTTAAAATAGGAACTTGAGACTCGAAGAAGGCTTCTTGCTCAAACCCTATTCAACCTCCCTCCTTATATTTATATTTATATTATATTATATTATATAT